AACTAGATACTACCTAGTAAGTTTGTTACAAGTTTTAACTAGATACTACCTAGTAAGTTTGTTACATGTTGTAACTAGATACTACCTAGTAAGTTTGTTACATGTTTTAACTAGATACTACCTAGTAAGTTTGTTACATGTTTTAACTAGATACTACCTAGTAAGTTTGTTACATGTTTTAACTAGATACTACCTAGTAAGTTTGTCATGTTTTAACTAGATACGACCTAGTAAGTTTGTTACATGTTTTAACTAGATACTACCTGGTAAGTTTGTTACATTGTATTTTTAGGACTATATTGGACGAGATGGAATTACACGAAGATTCCTGGCCTTTTCTTCTACCAGTTGACACCAAACAATTCCCAACTTACAAAAAAGTTATAAAAAAGCCGATGGATTTAAGTACGATACGGAGCAAGCTGGAAGGAGGATCGTAAGTTTTAGCTGTATTTGTTTTTGTACTAGGTATACATCCCTCAAAAAAGAAAAACTCACTTGTATTCCATAACCATATTTTATGTTTTTCAACTAAATCTAACAGTTATTACTATATATACCTGCTTGTTTTATATTTTTATGTATCATAAATTTACACGTTTTATATTTGTATTCTATCTCACGATAATTAACTCTGGGACCGACCTCGTAACCATTTTGTGTTTGTTATTGTTTTTGTGCTATAACTTTTAAGTTTGTAAGCAAATGTTAACGAAATTTGGATTATCAATAAACATTAAAATGCTTTCAAAATATAAAATTTTTATTAAGTCTTAAGGTTTGTAAAGCAATGTTTTTCTCGTGCCTTTTTTTTTCTTTTTAATTTTCATTTTCAGATAAAAATACTTTTGTGTATCAGAAAATTTTCAAATTTCACATGCGAGATCTTTATAATGTCCAGATAGTTATCAAATGTTTCTTAAGAAAAAACTATATTTTATCTGTTATTTTCAGTAACGAGTCTCTATATGGATTCAGTAGATTTGATCAATATCGTAACCACGTTAAAAAGATAAGGAAATAAATATCAATTATGCCTCTTTCATTCTAGAACGACAACAAATTATAACACAAAAATATAAATGTTTAGACTAAATAGCTTAAATCTCATAACATTATACATTTATATATATATTTATTATTTTTATTATATTGACCTATCAGCCATGCCTGGCTAACAATACATAAGTTACAATGACAACCTATGTGAAGCAGCAATCAAGTTCAAAAGTCATAACTAGAAGAGATAGTGTTTGCTTTATTTCTTTTTTTTACTGTTCTATGTTTTATGAAAAATAAGTTTAAGAACTTATTTTACAAAATACTAGTCTACTAAAACACAGCCAAGTCACTTTGTAAAGTCCAGTTTTATGCTGTTGGGAGAGCAAGTGTGCCGTGTCATTGTAACTTCTGCATTGTTAGCTAGGCATAGCTAAAAGGTCAATATAATAAAAATATGTGTGGCTCACCTTTTTCAATTTTTGGAAATGGTCCCGGATATACACTTACTTCAATATATGACATGTGAATATCCAATCAAAAGCTCAGAAGGTCCCCTAGTGGCTTTCTCAGCCACTTTTATCTATTAGAATGCCATCTCTTATTTTGAAACCAAGATTTCAAGGAGATAGATTGTGTATTTAATCTGCTCGAAATTTTATATTTTTTAGACCCAAATATAGCTTAGTTACTAAACTTTATAAATTATAGTAGAATTCTGTAGTATCAATAAAATAATTTATGATTTTTTGGTTATTCGACTGTATATATATATAAAACCTAAAAAAAATTATTTCATTTCACATCCTCCATGTGCAAAATTTTAAAAGGCTTAGCAATCTATGTGAAGCAGCAACCAAGTTCAAAGGTCATAACTAGAAGAGATAATGTTTGCTTTACTTCTTTTTTACTGTTCTATGTTTTATACATATAAAATCTAAAAAAAATTATTTCGTTTCACATCCTCCATGTGAAAAATTTTAAAAGGCTTAGCGGGGCCACTGTGTTTGATTCATTACATAAGCAATATATCAGCAAATAGAAAAGATACGAGGTTCATATTTTATATTCTAGCTGATCAATATCAGTAATTTGAGTTCCTAATTCGTACAAAACTATAGACTTAGTATTTTGACATCACAAACATCTAATTTGAACTACTGCTGCATTCAACATACCACATGACACACAAAAATTGATGTTTAATTGTTTTTTTTAATATTTACTTTTAAATTAAGAAATTAAATAATGTGTAGTACTAAAATTTGAATTATAATCTACAGTTTGATACCAAACTTACTGATATAAATTCATGAAATAGTAGTTCAAT